CCTTCGTACGTGTATTTTCATAAAAAGGAGAATTCAAAAGTTTTTTCCCTAGCACCCTGCATCAGAATAACTGAGATTCTACACGAGCACCATTATGGCTGCAGACTTCTGTGCGTGCCACAAAGAATTAATTGTGCAATCATCCTGCACTCGTCATCAGTGTGGGAGTTTACAAAAGTCACCTCTTAACTTTTAAAAGTTATTCCTCTTCCAACAATGTTCTTTAGTTTATGAAATGTGGCCAGCCACCTTACTTAATGACCTGGTCGTCAGCAGTTTTAGAAAGATTATTGCCTTTGTATTTCGCACAGCACATTTGCGTATAACCAAAACAATCTAAAAAGAAACCACAAATTGTAAAATCCTGACCACGTAATTTTTAAGTTAATAGGAAACATGAAACCTTTACGTTTAGTGAAGTAACTTTCCAGGTGTCCCTGTTTTTCTAATAAACAGTTACTGTTTATTAAAAAAAAAAATCAATATATAAAAAGACAGTATTGTATTGAATTAAAAGCTCCAAAACAGATAAGTTCTGTTCTTTCCTTGTATACGCGCTAAGGGCCCGTTCCTGCTTTTTGACTTACAAAGGTTCCACTGACAGCAGCCCCACGGGGTAAGTCCGTTTCATAAAGGCCCAGGGAACAGATAAGTGTGAGTTGAGTTTAACTTTAGTGTCTGATAATCCCAGCAGCTAACTAATAGGTAATCGTTAAATAAAAACTATTTTAGAACGAATGAAAAGTAAAAAGCTTTTTAGGCTAAAATACAAAGCCATAATTGGGATGATTTTGACAGATATATCAGTCCTGAAAATTAAAGGTAGAATGTGCGAGCTGGATTACTTGTGCAGAAGGGCATGTGATTATTGAATTCTGATGATATTACTCTTTATCCAGCTTTGTAGAGCACACACGGTTTGGCTTTGTCATTTCTGACAATTTTTGATTGCCTCTTCTGTGCATTGCTCACTTTAGCGAGGTAGAAATGGCACCTGTTTAGAGTCTAGTTTGCAGGACTTTTACGGCAAAAAAAAAAAACCTTAAATGTGCAGGGGAGGGATTTTAGAAATAAGATCAGGTATTTCATGGTGTACATCATGATGTATATGTTCCAGATATTTTCCATTTACAAAATGGAAAGTTGGTGTTCATGAATGTTGATGTATATTTGAATGATTTGGCTAGCAGATAGGTGTCCCTTCCCAGGCTGAAGCGGAGCTGCTCAGGCATGTGTGATGGGCTTTCTGCAGCTGCCGGGGATTTAGCTCAAGTGGCCGGGGCTTTTGGGACAGAGAAGCTGAAGCCTGTCTCTTCTGCTGCGCCCGGGAAGTTCTGCCTGGCAAAAACATCACAATGGTGATACCAGAAAGTTTTAGGGAATCGAGCTTTGTTGCAGCGGTGAGGCAAAACGGAGGCCTGCACCCGGGTAAGCCTGACAGTCTGTGTCGCACCAAAAGGGTCAGAAGAGAAGCAAACAGGTTGTCAAGAATGAGAACAAACCCAAGATTTACTGTAATTCTTTTTTTTTTTTTTTCCTAGCTGGTCTGAAAGGCTCTGAGGAAACATTGCCAAATCAGAAGGAATCTCAGCAACTTTTAAAATCTAGTTGGACTGGTTTGCTGTCAGCCTGGCTGGATCTGTGGCGGCTTACGTGGAGGGCTCCTCTGGAGCTTGGACCTCCAGCACCTGGGGCTGTGTGGGCTGCCTGGCTGGCCAGGCACCGAGCACGTGGGGTCTGACAGCCCCCAGCAGGGCATCTCTAAAGCTCAAGGATTTGTGAAAGTCACTGCAAAGTTTGTTTTTGGTTTTTTTTTTTCTCTAAATTGGAATAAAAAATAAACTTACAAGACTCAAAACACTTTGCGAGGTCTGGCAGGGCTGTATCTGCGGAGGTCTCCTTGGAGATGGGGGGAAGTTTCCTACAGACGGAGGGTGTTGACCACTGGTCCCTATGGCTGCTCTGAAGCCCCCAAGGCAAGTGGTGGGCAGTGCATTTCCAGCAGCAAAGTGTTACAGGGCCATAGATGCTGTGTAAGGAATTTATCCATGGTTTCAGCTGTAGCTTTTGGAGGAAATAATTTAATAACCCTTTTCTTTAGAAGTATTTGCGGTTGAGGTACCTCGTGTAACAGAGCTGATTCCTCAGCTGGTTAGCAGCGGCAGCAGAGCTGTGAGATGTAACAGCTCAAGGAACTGTCCCCCCGGTGTTGTACAGGTGTGTTGCAGAAGTGAAACCAGCTGAGTCTACATGTTGAGCTTGCTTGTTTATTTGAGTAATTTTGGAAACATTGCCATTCCCGACACTGCAGCTGTGTTTTTGAGGTCAGTAGGAGCAGGACATTGACATGTACAGCAGTAAAAGCATGATGCTGCGGCAGAGACGTTTAATCTGGCCCTGCAGGAATTCATAGATTTAAGTGGAAAGCACCTTTAACTCTTGCATCAGGAGGGCGCAGCCTTGGTTGTGTCTGCAGTGCTGTACATACCCACGCACTTTTAAAGAATGAAGAGTAAGTTTATTTTCAGAGTCTGTGTGCGTACGCGTACCTGTAAATAAGATATTTTCTTAGCTCCTTCATCTCTCAGAGGTCTCATCTTTGCTGGTACTCACAGCAGCACTAGGTTAGCTGGCCGTGTTGGTGCAAGATTCCCCTACAGCAGAGCCCTGCCAATGCAAACAGCACGCAGCAGCTCCGTGCTGCCGGGTGCCTCCCTCACCCCAGCGCACAGCCACGGCTGCTCGGAGGAACCACTCTCCTTTGCAGACGTGCTGGGAAGGAAAAACTCACTTTTGATTTTGGGGCTGCCATTCTCGAGCTTCAGAAAACATTCGAACGTTTTTGCAGAAGGAAGGTGGTTCCCGAGATGCGGTCAGCCAGAGAAAGTCTTTGGTGGTGTTGGGCTGGTTTATGTCTTACGTGATTCTCATTGTGCTTTCAGATAGATCCCAGACATCCTATCTCACTTCTGGTCTGTGTGTTTACCTGTAATACCGTGGGCAGTGGCCCAGCTGTGCTTCTGAATGCCTGTGGCCCTTCAGCTACCTCTTCTACATGTTTCTTCATCTCTGGAAACAAAGCAGAGGTTCTTCAGAAACAGCCTTGTCCCACCTAGGAGGGTGTGATTGGAAACTCCCGGCAAGCAAAACCTCTGACGACTTCATTCGGAAGGGAATATAGGGCTGCAATGGGTGAGGGTAAGGAAAAAGGCTACTTGATCGCTTTATAAAGCTGATGTTGATGTCCAGGGGTGATAAATGGACTGTGAAAGGAAAGCTTTATGGCGTAACGTTGAGGGATGCCTAGTGTACTGTAGGGTAATTTCCCTGGGGCGGAGGAGGGCGGCTGTCCTGCGGAGGTCAAAGCACGAGGCGTTCCCCATCGCCACGCGCTGGAGCAGGCACGGATGGAGCCTGTGAAGTTTGTTGTGGCCAAAAGAGGCAGCGGAAAAATCGAATTACAGGCGCAGCCTGAGCATTCGGGGTTTGAGAGTTTCTGTCAAGCGCAGACGAGGACGTATTTGCGCGCTTCCGACGGGAGAGGAGACCTCGGCGAAGGAGCAAATCCTCCTCCTGTCTCATCCCCTCCCTGCTCGGCGGGTAGCACCGATTACCAGGCGGCCCGTCCGCGGGCAGCGATGAGAATTGCCCGGAACGCACTTGGAAGCGAAACCTTAGGAGCAAGGCGAGGGGCAGCGCGAAGACTGAACGCCTCCGGCTGCCGGTGCGGGGGGCACCTCCTTACCCCGCCACCTTTAACAGAAACGCATCCGAGCGGTTTGCGAGCGGCACGTAACTCTTCCTCTAAAGCGGGGGCGGTATTTGGCCCCCAGACTTTAACAATAGGTGCAAGAAAGGTGAAGTTCGAGCCTTCCTTTTCACGAATAATAATAATAAAAAACTGGGAAAAAGCCTGCCTGCCGGGAGTTGCCTTTTCTTGTCGGCCCCGGGCTGCCTCCCCCCGCCGGCGGGGGAGGCGCCGAGTCCCCCGCCGGTTGCGCGGCGGGGAATAAATAGCGGGGCGGCGGCGCGGCCGGCGGAGCCCTCCGCTCCCCGCAGCCCCTCCACGTCACTTCGCGGCGAGGCGAGCACGTGGGGCGGGCGGGGAGACCTTATAAATCTCCCTCTCCCTGCGCGGCCGTGATGTTATCTGCTGGCAGCCGTCCCCTCCTCGCAGGGAGAGCCGAGGGGCCGGGGGCGGCGGGCGGGGGGCGCCGGGCGGAGCGCTAGATCCGCCGGGAGC